GATTCTATCCGATCAACGAGTTATTTTAATAGCTGGTCATCAAATTTCCGTTTTGAACTGAAGATAAACATTATGTACGACTTGGTTATGTCCCATAATATTTTAAGGTCGTATAATAGTTTTTATCTCATACACACTTCTGTCGAAATAATTCGTTCTATATACCTGATTTTCCAAGATAGTCTTCACGTCATATATCAAAAATCTGATTAGATATCTAAAGAACATTTGAAGGGCGTTGAAAAGATTAGATCGTCTTTAGACATCTTTTGAACTTTGCATTATTGGGATATCCTAATTGTGCCTTCTAGCGTCAATCACTTCGTACATATTTTAAGCGAGGCAAAGTCAAAATTGGATAATGGGGGAGGGGGACGGGCGAGATAGTTACCTATGGTGTCGAGGATAGTCACGCCATACGCGATCGGGCGCGTGAGCGAATTGCCGAGGCACGCGCCGCTCCGGAGTACGTAATTATCATAGGGAGGTTGCCCTCAGACACGTACACACGCGCGCGCAGGGGGTCGAGGGGTCGGTCGACTCGGGTCAGGAAGTCACGCGAGGCGCACTGGGGAGAGCGGAAGGGCAGCAGCGCCGACGGAGGTAGGAGGAGAAAGAGAGAGTGCTTTTATTGTTCTACGAGTCGTCTTAAAGTCGCTTTTCCTGGCCAGTGGGCAGACCCCGCTGAAACTCCCCCGGGTGGTGGTCGATAACGCGACGTGATGTTTCTCGACGGACGCGCCAGCGCGCCTCGACAATTCTCGAATCGACCCGCTGAGGTTTATGTTATTTTCGCGAAGTAAGGGTATAAGCCGTCGCGCAATGGGAGGAGCCGCACTCTCGTTCAGATCAATCTTTGTGTCGGATCAATTCGACTGAAGCGCGCTTTTCCTTCCGTTTATATTATAAAGAAGACTCTTGTGAAGAAGAGAGAGAAGCTATACAGTTACACAAACGTGTCCAGTTTTAAATTCACAGTAGGAAATTAAAGATACGTTGATTACATTTCATCCAAAAAAGACAATGTTTATAAAACTCGAGATTTTTTAATGTAGAAAATTCTGAAGCTAATCTCTTTCAGTAATCTCTTTTCTGAAATGAAAAAAAATTGCTTGAATCAAATACCTTTCTGGCATAACTGAGATAACATGAATCAAATAGAGTGATATTTGAACTTGTTTCAAGTGAGTAATAAACTCAATTGGAAAATCCGTCCAAGAACTATAAAATTTAGGCTTGATAACTCTCATGACGGCGCCACAGATAATTAAGCTTCAGGCAGTTCACGCGAGAAAGCTTTTTTTGACCACTTCGACTTTAGACTGGATCGCGTGGTGCAGTACAACGCTTCAGTGCGCATTTCGGTACGGAAAGGTTACATGAGCATGACCTGCTTCGGGACATGGAACAACTTTGGGCTAGCAAGCACGCGAGCAACATTAATGGGCATACTCACCGCTTTTACAGATATATCTCTAATGTGTTAATTCACGGGTGTCAGTTCATCATTGTCCTTGCATGACGTTACGGAACATCGCGAGTAAGTCAGGAAGTAATTTACATTAAAACGCGTCGCTCAGAGGGCAATTCGTTAAATTTTCTCGTGCACAGGATAAAATTTCTCTTTTGGCATTTTAAAATTTACAAATTTAAACTCTTCGTCTTGTTCAAGTGTCAATTATTATATAGAATTATACATATAAGGCAATCTCGCCAAAATATTATTAAATACAAAGGTAGATACAGTTCGAGAGATAGAATTTGTACAATACGCATATATTGCGTGACGTTAGAATTTAAATCGTTTAAAGTTATTTTAATTAAAAAATTACATTATTTAAATGCTTACACCGTCATTGTATTTATTTAAGTGACAAGTATCAACGCGTTTCGTGTTAAAGTATCGTTGAAATAACGCTTTCGGAATCAAGTATATCTTTATACACTTTACGCTCATTTATGCGGATGGGCGTTAAAATCTCTCGAGCTTCTTCAACCTCTTCTAGTTATCCTTTACACAATAATTATCTAACGAATCTCGAAAGTAGCGCATAACCTGAAGTCGAGCCGTTATGCGAGGAGACAGGCTTGTAATTTCAATTTCACGCGGCCCGGAAGACCACAAAGTGCCCTCGGGTCAACACGCGTCACGTCATGTAATTTCATGAATCTCGGCGATGACGACGATGTCGCTCCCTTTCGCGTCGCGGCGCAAAGCGCAAACCGAGTCAAAGGCGACCCCGCGTCTGTCAAGATCAGAGAACGGTGTTGGAGCCATTGGAAAATGCCCCCGAGCCCAAACGGTGCTGAAGCGAGTCGTGTGTGCGTCATCGCGAGAAATACCTGAAAATTAAACTTCCAGTGCAATGCGAAGAAGAGATCTAAAGTCTGCCTTCCAACAGGCCTTCGAAAAAGAATCTAATTCACAGAATCCTATTAATTACAATTCCAACACAACAACAGAACTTTATTGTTAATTTCACATCTCTTTAAATGATTTACACGACTTTGATGAAGTGCGTCAAAATAAGGACCAACAAGGAAAAATTTCGCGTTCTGCATTATTTTCCTGTTATAGTTTATAATGCTAATGATAACAAATTACGGTAAAAGATTACATTTGGAGCTAATTCAATGCATAACACGAAGAAATAATAAGCAACCAATGGGTCTACCATTATTTCTCTTTATCAAATTTATACTTTGTATAAAATTACAGTCTTCGATTTTACAAAACAATATTACAAGACAATCTCAGAACATTGCATATTTTTGCACAATATTCATAACTCGAAATTATAATGCAAAATTGTCCGGAATTTGTACGTAGTCTGCTGCATATTCGCCACGTACCACATCGTACGTTGCGTTAAATTACGCTTAAAGCCCCCGGTGCTAAGGTGTGACATGGCAGACCGCGCGAGTCGTGAATGCAATCCTGAATACAAGAGCAAGGTGGACACTGATGGCGCTAACGGGTCCGCACGCGTTTTCAAAGGGAGCGAGAGACTTTTACGTTCTACCGCGCACCACGGAGGTGCGATCACGAACAGCGGCCGGGGCTGGTTGTAACCTGGTTGGTGGCGGCCAGAAGCCGTTTATAACAAAGATGCCCGCGGGCAGGTCTCTGTGATCTCCGCGAGATGATTGTGCCAGCGTTGGTGTTGGCGTCCACACACAGGGTGGGGCCAGCTCTTCGGCGTTACCATCGTGCGGGCAGGCGTCTCTACACAGCCCCCGGGGCTTGCTCTCTGCCACCCTACCTCTCTCTCTCTCTCTCTCTCTCTCTCACCCTGTCTCTCCTCCTCTCTCGCTGTCGCTCGCTCGCTCGCTCTCCGTCGACGACAAAGGGGCCGCGGTTCAACGCGCCACAAAGCACCCGGGACGCCACCTACACCCACACCAACACCCACATTCTCGCATCCTCTACGCGTCTGCACGCACAAAGCTTGCTCGAACAAGCCGGAGCGTCGCGACGCGTGAACTTGCACCCAGCGGCGCCGCGACCCACCCTTTAGGTATACGTAGCGTCTAGCGAACCGAAAACGAGGAAAAAGAAACCTCCCCCTCCCGCCTCTAGAGGGGTTTTTGCGAAGAGTAACGGAGGACATGCATGGCGAAGCCGGTCGCGAAATTTAGAAAACAACCCGGTGCTTGACATTGATATGACGGAAAATTAATTGAAGAATTATGAGAGAAGTAGAGTCCAGTTCGATTGTCAGTGATGATTAGGGTTAATATAAAGCTATACAATTGTGTTATTAAATGGAATTCCTTGTAACCTAACGTTTCTTTGGCTTCTATACATGAAAAGAACGGTTTTGCTGAAAATATATAAAAATTAAGTTAGATCTAAAAATAATTATGGACCAGCAAAATAATTATGTAGGGAACACTCAAGCATCAACAATAATGCTGCAAAAAGTTTGACATTTTAACAACCAACTTGAGTGTCCAATTATTTAGATAATTATTTTCAAATCCGTATCTAGTTAAATCTTTAGATATTTCAGCAAATTGTTTTTTCCGTGTAAGAATTAATATGGAAAATTACACACACACACACACACACACACACACTCACGTACGCGCGCATGTGTGTATAAATTCTCGTATTACGATTTGTTATATTGAAGTGTGTTTGCATAATTTGGAAAATTTTATTCTTATGACTTGTTTTAAAAAAATATAAATGACACAATGGCATAAATGATTATTGCTTAATATTATACTGAGAAAAAAAATTGATTGTACGAACTAAATTTGTATAGTTGTTTGATCCAATAGTTTATTCAACAATTCTTTAATTGCACAAAGAAAGATATAGTTCATTCATGTCAACTATCGAAATTTTTAAATTAAGAATTAACTAAACCAACTCAATTAAATTATTTTGTTCTGTGAAATACTGTAGTATTTATTTGTTTGCATGCTATTTAGTTATCCAAGTAATATATTTGTTTAAATTCCAAGTATCAAACTGAACGATGCTGATGGGGATAATAAATAGTGTATTTTTAATAGATCGGTTGAGTTAAATACGGTAAATTTTTGTTGAAACAAAATAGTTTAGTTAAAAAATAGTACTTTGTTTATAATAGTAACAAATTATTTTGTGTCATCGTAGTAACGTTTAGTTGAACGTATCGGACTAAATATTTTAGTAAAATGAAAGAAATTTTACGTTTTTCAACAATTTTTTTTCTCAGTGTAGTAATATCAAGGTGTTTTTTACAATTGCAAATAGCAAGAGGTAGTACATTATATTTTCAAGGTTGCATAATATTTCTTAGTAAATATTCTATAAAATACTGATACTATCTGAATTGAACATGCCAAATGAACTTTTGTTACTTTATTTAAAATATGATTTTATATTTACGTTCTCCACTCTTCGCAGTGATATCAAAACTTTTGTGTAAGTACAACTTTGTCTTTATATATCTCTCCTCTTGGTATTGCTGGACACCTTCCAGTAAATAAACTCAGATGAGACTCACCCTGACCAGGTGCCGGCGACGTGGCGTGGCTCCAGCCTCCCTTGTAAGAGCTGCCAGCATCTGAAAGAAGGGGAAATATTTTTCAATCGTTTCTTCTTATTCGCGATGCAAACTTTCCAATTTGCGTCGCGTTGACGCGCGCTGTTAAATCTACGGTATATCGATCCGCGCAGATATTTCGTGATCCCGCCAGATTGCGATTACATTTTTTGAGGTCACGTCGGTAGCGCGGGCGAATATATCGTCCGCAATTACCGGTTAATCGATTCGAGGAATCACGAGAAGTCGTAAAGTATATCTGATTGAAAGTGCTCCGAGCTATCGTGGCCGCTTCGGTTGGGGAAAAAAAACCAACGGTCCTTCTGCTTCACGAAATCTTTACGACGCTTTAACGGCTCTGATCGTTCCTGCGTGAGCGCGATGCGAAATGCACACGAGAGAATCTATACGCACATACGTTACGGATGCATATATCGTCTTTGAAATCGAGTTTCGGTGGATTTGATAACGATAGATATAGCCGAGTTATTTGCGTCCAAAGTTGCAGACATTAAAAAGTTTATGACTGTTGCGTTAAAATACTAACTGTTCGAGTCTTTTATAAAATGCATATGTTAGAAAAAGACGAGAAAAAAGTACAAAATATCAATCAGAATTGATGTCAATTTCTCTTAGATACTAAACTTAACATTAAAATTAGAAGAAACTGTTTGTTTTTTGTATTTTAATAACTTTTTACAGGATTCGAAGATGAAACAGTTTTAACAAGTTAAATTATGATTTCTAATACAGACTTTTATTACACTAACAATGTCAGGATTGTATAGAATAGTTTGTACAATACATCTTGTATAAAATAATATCTAAAACGTGTAATTATGATATACGAGTACAATACAATGCCCGAAGAAAGATGTTAAAAACAAATGTCTCTTTGATATTATCGAGTATAATATCTTCTTGTTAGACTGTTAGACACAAATCCTAGTCATATATATCACGATAAATAAATCTAAATCATTATGATTTAATTAACAATACTCTTCATAACTCGTAAGTTGTTTTCTGTTATTACACACTCTTCTATACCTCTTCCGTTTTATACTTAATCTTGCAGTTGTATAAACAACTTACTGCTTTTATTCTTAAAAATATTTCTGCCTAAATATCTTTTTTTCTGCATCCGCTTGATCGACGATTGCCGATCTAGCGGTTTGCTTGGATGCTTGCTCTGTCGAATAATATCCGAGCAAGAAGGACGTTGGTTGAACAAATATGGAATTATTTGTAACACGTGCGCGCGGAGATGTTGCTCGCGACGCGCAGCGACGGCGGCGGGATGTTATATTCGCCACGCAAGAGTTCTCTCGAGAGCTCCCGGCGCCGAGCCGAGCGTACGGCGGCGTCGCCCGTCGGTGGCATGTTTGCGAACAGATATATTTTCATTTCGCAGTTATTGGCACAAAGGGTCGGCCCTTGTGTGTACATACGTAGGTACGTCACACATCGCGCGGCAGTAACTCCGACTTTCTGAGCAAACAAAACGACCTACGCGCGCGCTCACGACGGCTCGATCTTTCGTCTTTACTGCCCCCTTCATTTGATCTGGAGACCCCGGAGTCCATTAATGGATCCTCGGATTTCATGTTTCTCAAGTGCCGTAGGGTGCGCCGATCGTTCGGTAATGCGCGCCGGATTTTCTTGGGGGTTTCTCGCGGAACGGTATCGCGCGATACGAACTACATCGTAAAATCCTCGTGAGCTTTTCCTTTTCTCGAGAGAAATGTAGACAAGCTTAAAAGGTGAGAATTCCGACGGATTGCCAAATGCTACAACCAACACTATTCGCAATTAACACTGACGGTCCAATTATAATGTTACTATGCAGTGTACAGTACGTGTATACAATAACTCTCGTAAGATGTATATTTTATTTATTATATTATTCATTATTGTTATTAATTATGCTACTTGTTAATACAAAATTATATAACATATGTTATAATTTTTTATCTGAAGATAAATTAAAGTTTTAGTTTAGAATTTATTGCTTCTTTATACTCCAAGTTTTTCTAAATTTTCTGTTAATATATTTAGTTCAAATAGCATATAAATATGATAAATATTCAATATTAATAAAACTACATAGCATAAGCAAATGGAAAATTTTTGTTTTGTTTGTATTTCGAGACATTCTTCGATGGAAACGTGACACATGACTCAAAGATAACGGAAATTTGGTAAAACAAATGAAAAAGAGTAGAAATTTAATTCTGATTACCAATACGTCGAAGGTTGCGCGATAGAAACATTATGCGTTTGCGACTTATGTAAATGGGGCTTTATACGTGAGTTAAAATGCTGTTCTTCTGAGATTTTGATCTTGCTTGCCTAATCAGACAATGTTTATTTTTGTCACTTTCACGAGCCACGTGGTCACTAACAATCACTTTTGCGACATCGCATTATCATAATTATCAGCACCTATTGCATATTATAGCTTAACCTTTTTGCGGACTGCAATTAGATAATTAATTCGTCTACGGAGGAGTCTAAACATTTTAGTCTATATATAGATAGGTAATGAATCAATAATAGTTTTGCGAAACGATATATTAAATAAAAACTTTAGAAAAGTTTACGATGGACATTGAATTTTTCAATTAGTTCTAGAAAAATGAAAAATAAAGTAAAATCTTGACAATACAGCAATCATTTCGCTTAAATCACTTCATTCTAATCTAGTTAATAGCCATATTTATCGCGAATAAATACGTTTAAAAAGATAAGCATTTTGTATGAATCATGAAACTCACAAAAAGTCACTTGCTACCAGAGAGATCTTTAATTCTATGTCTAATTAGATACTTCTTTTTAAAAGTATTTTTATATTATGAAACAACATAAACGAATATTCACGAACGCTCGCGATGTTTCACGCGTATAAAAAGACCAAATGTATAAAGTGAGCTTCTATTTTCTCCATTGTAGCACGAAAAGATTTTTAGAAGCACTCACGCGTGCGACACAGAGTTAAACGCGTAGCACGCGACGGACACGGCGCGGGCGTTTCGAGCATGGAATTCGCAGGCAGGTGGACACGTGCGTTATCGTGCGTGGTAATTACCGAGAGCGTGGGACCGCGATTTATCACCGCACTACCGAAACATATGGCACGCTAGCAAAGCAATTCCGCGCGCACAGATGCGTGAATGGGGCACGTATAGCGGGACGTTGAAATGTCGAACGTACCGGCGAACAGCATCGATAGATTGGTGAACGCCGTGGTGCGTGGTAGCTCCGCCGCGGTGGTACCGCTGCTCTTGAGGTCCAGCATCGCGCGGATGCGGTATATCCGCGCCGCGACGCGCGCTTCAGCTGCTTCGGCCTGCGGTGCGATCGGGTGTTTTTTACGCGACCACCCAGCTGCCGCCCTTATCGCGGCACCGTCGTCGACTTGCGGATTAGCTGTTGCGGCACGAGGCGCGACGACGACGTAGTCAGAAACGTGGTCATATCAGCTGAACGACGCCTTCAGCGAACCTCTCGGTCTCACCCTCGAACGGCGGCGAGGTGGACAGCGCCGCGTATTGTTACTCTCGTTTCGCCGATGGTCGTCGTCTGCACGAGCGTACGGTACGTGGACTGCGCGCCAATAAGGGCGCCGATCATCTTGCCGACCCGCTCCGAGCGACACTGCCGGCTCGCGCGAGACGGACGACGACGTCGCCGGGGGCAGACAGGACGCGCCCGATCGACGAGGGCCAGCGGGCGAGGTCTCCGCCCCCGAAGGGCGCCGAGGTCGCGTAGGGGTTGGTTCCGCGCCGAGGCACGAGGGCCGGGCCTGCGGGGGTGATCGACACCCCCGCGGACGAAAGGGCGGAAGCGCGCCTGCGTGTCGCGAGCATGGCGGGAGCGGCCGCAGCCGCCGCGGCGGCGGTGCTCCGCATCGCGGCATCCGGCGGCGGCGGCGACGGCAGCGGCGACCGGGGGTGGACGGCCGACCGGGAGCACGCGGCCCGACGTGCACCGGACCTCCTGCACTTACCGACCGGCGCTTGTCGACGACGTAGTTTGCCCCGGTAACGACGTGCCACCGGTTCCCTTCCGGGAACAAACCCTCTGCGGTAACACGCGCTCTCGCGAGAACCGCGCTCTCGTACGCCGGCGTGTCGCCGCACCGGCGAGAGCTGTTCCGGTGACGGGACGACTGGGGCATAGAAGTCAGAGCTCAATCTGTGCTTTTAACCGAGTTGCCTCTTTAGCGAGACTATTAATCCATTAAAAACTGAATTGCATATTACTTTTTCCTCTTTCAAAAATAATTTACGATATTATATGTAATCCAACAAGTTCGACAGTGAAACTTGTTTAAATTCGAACGTAGCTTATTTGTCAAAATCAATGTTATCATCCTCTTTTTTTAGACGAATGGTGCTTCCGAAGTTTAGAAGCATCGTTGAAAGTCTTCAAATAAGAAAAAGAGAGAGAGAGAGAGAGAGAGAGAGAGAGAGAGAGAGAGAAAGGGATAGAAAGATATTAAAATAATGGTTGAAATTTTTTCACTGAACAACTTAAGTAGCTCTTAATCCACTTTAAATAGCTATTATTTAATTAGATATTTAATATCTTTCACTCTCCCACCTCTGATACGATGATAAAATTGTGAATGTATTGATTTAACTTTTTTCTTAATTTCTCTTCTCTTTATTTGCAATACAAAACTGGTGTAATTTTTTAAATTCTTGTCTTTAAAATTTGTCCTAAAAAAAATCAATGAATGCATATTCTTCCATCCCAATTAAGTGACTAATTTTCAGAGAGAAAAATCATTTTATTTCATCCTCTAAAAAAAAAGCAAAAAATATTTTTAACATTACTTTTACATTTGTTATTTTGTTTCTGGATAAAATACTGCTTATTCGCGCGCGTTTCTATGAACCGAAAATAAATCCCGTCATTGGTCGATACGGATGAATTTTCTATATATAGTGTTTCGATCAAAAAACTACTTTACTACCAGCATTGGCTTTCTAGTTGACCGCTCAGGAACATATCGG